GATAATGATGATAATAATAATAATAATAATAATAATAATAATAATAATAATAATAATAATAATAATAATAATAATAATAATAATAATAATAATAATAATAATAATAATAAAAATAATAATAAGTGTCAATTTATATAGCGCATAATGTAAAATACCTCTATGCGCTTTACAGCATCATGGAGGGGGGTAAATTATTAAAAGTTTCACCTAAAAATAATTAATAAAAATGAATAACAACCATAAATATAAATATACGATTACTATGTTAATAAATAAATAGTTTGAAAATACAGCATTTTATTTACTTTTTTTAATAATCTATCTAATTGTTAAATATTTATTTTCTTATTCTTATTAGTACCTTACTTACCTTTTACTCTTTTTTTCCATGTATTTTTTCCCTTTACCTTTATTTTTTTTTCAAACTTACGACCTGTCTCTCTTTTCCGTTACTTCCCTATAATTTTTTCCTTTACCTTTTCTTCCCCTACCCGCTTTTCCTCCTTTCATTTTTCTACATCTTTTCATGTTTTCCCTTTCCTCTTCCTTTTCTTACCTTATATTTTCCTTTTTCTTTTCTTTCCTCATTTCTTATTCTTTCCTTTCTCTTTCTATACCATTTCCTGTCTTTTTCTTTCTTTATCTTTTCTTTTTCTTTCTTTTTCTTAACCTCCTCGTTTTCTTTCTTTTTCTTTCCTTTCTTTCCCTTTCATTTGCTTTCTTGTTCTTTCCTTTCTTTACCTTTTCATTTCCTTTCTTTTCCTTGTCTTTACACTTTTGTTTTCTTTCTTCTCATTTCATTACCTTTTAGTTTTCTTTCTTTTCCTTTCTTAACCTTTTCGGTTTCTTTCTTTTTCTTTTCTTTCTTTCCCTTTCGTTTTCTTTCTTTTTCTTTGGCCGATTATGTGTGGGTGTGGGGTGGGGAAAGGTAGGTGGTGTCTAAGTAGAAAAATGTTGTTTTCCTGGCACGCCTAGACCCCATGGCTATGTAGCAGACTACCGGCGGTCCAATAT